GGGGTGGAATTTTGATAACTGTCAAGCAAGCGCTGCACGAGGACGCATAGGTTTGGCGTATTGTTCTTTTAGTCCCTAATAACTTTTTATTTACAGTTTTATCCTTCTTTTATTTTCGATTTTTCTTTTAACTATAATTAATAAAAAAAATATCTATAAACTTTGTATTTTATATTAAAAAAAAAAATAACTATATAATAATACCATTAATTTTTTTAAAATTAAAAAATATATTTATACCAAAATATTCATACTTTATTTTTTAAATACATTTTAATTTTCAAAAGAAATTAATATCTTTTTAACCTTTTAAAAAAAGTAAAAAAAAAAACTAAATATTTAAAAGTTCAAAGATGTTTGTAAATTTTTTTTAAAAAAATAAAATATTAATTAAACTTTTGAAAATAACCCTTTTACAAAGTTTAAACATGTCTTTTAAATAAAATATTAACGATTTTTAATGATTTTTTTTTCAAATTTAAGATATATTATTAAAACTTTTGAAAATTAAAGAATTCGACAAATTAATTTATATATTTCTAAAGGACTTAAATTCAATATCTATTAACAAATTCATAGTCTAATAAATATTTAATAATTTTGAAATATTTAAAATTTAATTTAAATTCTATATTTTTTATTTTATATCTAATAAATCTGTAAATTAAAAAAAAAAATAGAGCATAAATTTATAGTATTAGAGGTTTAAAAAGAAAATAAATAAAAACCTCAAAATTCAACCTCAAATAAATTCAAACGTGTTGAGTGATATAAATATTGTAATATTTATTAGTAATTAAATCACAATGTACTTTGGTTGTTGATTTAAATGAATAATTAGTGTTTTCACAAATATAATGCATCAATTATGTTTTTTTTTAGTAAATGCATTTAATAAATGTTATACCATACTCATAATTTAACTATAAAAAATAAAAAGATTAATCGGCACCACTAAAGCACGAACAACAATTATCAATTGGTCAAACCCCATAACCCACAGCACCATAATCTTATGCTTAATATATTGACGAAGTCAATGGAATATAAATTACGTAGTTATTAAATATTATAGATACCATGTGTTATAAAAAAATATATTTTATAATAAAAAAATATTTTAATAAAATAGCGTGGGATGAGAGGTATCGCACAAAATTATAAAAATGGTAGGTGTGTTCTGAAAAAAAAATTATATTTTAGATTATTTAGTTATTGAATGTCGTAATGTATAATTTATAATAAAAGAAATTATTACCCGTTTATGAAATTTTTTACCCTATAAATTGCATCTCAGTGGTAAAAGTTAATAATTAATTTTAATGATATTTTTCGCGTATAAATTAAATTATTATAAATTTAAAGATTATAATTTAAAACGTTATAAACTAAAATGAGAGATTATTTTTTTTTTATTATTTTGAGATTATAAAAAAAATTTAAAACTTACTCAAATATAAATATATATAAATATAACTAAATATATATATATATATATTTTGTAGAATAATAAAATAAATATAATATAAATATTTCACATGTTGTATTAAAAAATGTGTCATGACTTTTCTTTAGTAATATATTATTTAATATAATGTTTGGTGGATCTAAATTATTGGCCGATAACTTATTTTATTTAATAATGAAAATTTTAATTCAAAATAAATATAAAAATGCAGAAATTTTATTTCTTATTCCTCATCTCAATCTTATTATAAATCAATTTAGTTTCTATAATTTAAATTCTATTTTATTACCATATGGTATCTAATATATTAATGTAAAAAAATAAGCGTGCTCGCCATTTTATTTAGTTAATTATATTTTTTTAGTATAATAAATATGGTGTAATAATTCAAGTCTATTGCTAATAAATATTGTCTTATTTGGATTTTTTTTTTAAGCTTTCCCTCAAAGTTTTAGAGGCTTTAAAATGGTATCAAATCTGGACACCGAACAATGTGTCAACCTTCTCGTTGTTTTCCGAAAGGGAGTAGACACGAGGCGATATGCCAATAAAGACATTTGACCCTAAAGAGGTGTGGATTTAGCGGAGGTCCCACATTTACTCGTGTTGGGGAGGTTCGAACAAGGACTTTCGATTTAAATCAATACCTTAATTAATTAAATTGTGTTACATTATATATTCGTTTTTGTTTTTAAATAACTCATTTTTTTTAATTAAAAAAAATGAATAATTATTTTTGAAGGGAACTTGAAAACTGTTTGATTAAAGATAAAGGCTTCAGATTCACGTGAGACACGTGTAATGTTCCTGACATGCACGTGAAGCACGTGTAAGCAGCTAATTGAGAGTTTAAATTAAGTAACACAATAAATTCTTTTTCTGGACTGAAAAGTTTTATATTAATTTTTAATTTTATTGTATATATTTAAATTTTATAAAGAAAAAATTATATTAAATTATGTATATTTTCTAAAATTAATTTTTATTTTATAAAAAAACTAAAAAAAGGTGTTAGCAAAATTTCTTAACATCGGTGTCAGAAGACCAAACTCGGCAATAGCAGACCTCATTTTCTAAACAGACTATTCATCTTTTTGGATGTCACTTACACGAAGTCGTGAGAATAGCTATCTACAGTACAATGACGTGCAAAAGAAAATTCGAATTTCAGATATGTTAATCGATTATATATATTTTAATTGATTAAATTATTCTAAAAAAAACGAGAAAGTCAACAACCTCTTAATTAAAATTTATTGCTCAAATCACTTCTCTAACCTACCGTTCATGTTTGAATATTAATAGCCTTTTATTTTATTTTAGTTTGTTCTCCAAATTAAATATAAAATAATGAATTGGTCCATTCATAAAAAAAAATCGTGAATTGAAATAATTAAATAATTAATTAAAGTAAAATACTAATTGGTAATATATATATATATTTAGAACTTAATTTGAATAAATATTTTTAAAAATTAAAAATTATTTTAAATATGGTGATAGAATAAATAATAAATAAAAGAAAAATATGTATATAATTATACATTTTTTTTTTAATTTATGCTTTAAGATTAATAATGAAATTGATTATTCGTAAAATTAAACTTTTAATTTTCTATCGAGTAACTGAACAAATTAAAAATAATATAAAATTAAAATAAATGACTAATAAATTTGAAAAATCTTTATATATATATATATATATATATTTTAAAGTTCATATGAAACTTTGACAAACACAATAAATTAAAGAGAAATTGAACCCCACGTTTTGGGGTTAGACCATTGAATGAAACAATATTTAATTGAGAAAAAAAAACAATTTAATGAATAAAATAAGTACAATTAATAATGAATGAGGTTCTACCTACCAACCACTTAGTTATTACATTTATTTAATTTTATAACCGTTTATTCAATATTCTATTTTTTTTAAATAATAAATACGGTAAATATTTTAATATTTGAGATAGTAGATATCAATTATCCTTAAAATAAGTTGAGATAGTTGATATAAAACGTGTAATTAAAGTCACTTACTGGGCTCGTTATTATGGCCCATTTTGGCTCAAGGCCCAATGAAATGGGCCCAGTTTGGTAATTATATTGTAAATTTTATTTTAATATTTTTATTAGGTTTATATTTGATTTTAGTCTAAATATTTAATTGTCTTGTCTTTTTTAGTTGCATATTTCATATTTTTAAATTTTAAAAAGTATTTTTTTTTTATATTTTTTAATCCATTTTTTACTATCAAAATATTCAATCCATGGAATGAAATTCAGCTAAAATTTGATTTGCGGATTGTACGCTGTAACTCACCTACATGAAACCAAAATTTGATCAGTGATCAATTTCTAGGTTTCATCGTAAACCTTATGTCGCCGTAAGGCTGGCTAATCGTATGATGCAGACTCAAAGTCAAAAACCCCTAATTCTGGAAGGTCACCTCTTCGTCAATAAAATGGAAGGTCAGAAAAATCATTTTACATTTATATCGTCATCTTTCAAAATATTATTTTTTATTGTCAAAGTTAATAAATACTAAATATCGAAGTCATTCCACTTTTATCCTAGGATATAAATTTAGCCCGACCAAAATAAGAGTGGATAATATAATATAAATTTAAGAAGACTGACTGGATTTTAAACCATCTTACTTGTAAGCTGATAATCAGTATTCTATCTTTTTGTTCCAGAAAATCTGGCGATAATCAAATGTCTTAAGTTGACAGTATTAAATAATGTGTTAAGTTGTCAATATAAATATAGCTCAACCGTAATTGATATGTATTTTACGTTTGAGATCGAACTGAAATCTAATAATTTTATGAACATTTATTTGGTATTACCATTCACACGTGTAATTATCATATATTTTATTAAAAAAAATAACTATTGACCTGTTGCACTTCATTTGACTGTATATATATATATATATGCATTTTCCAACCTACTCCAACTAATGAATAATTTTTAAAATTCTATCCAATTTTGACCTAGAACTTGAATACCATAAAATAAATTTTAAATATATAAAGAAATAGTATACAATATAATATAATAATATTATATATATTAACCATATGATTCATTAAATATATACATATATATATATATATATATAAATTATATAAAAATAGCTTAGTATATTCTAACCTAGTATTAATAAATAAAATTTACAAAAATTCATAAATTTCTAATAATTTCGATTCAATTCGTCGAAGAACAAAAAAAAAAAAAAAAAAAA